TCATTTCTTCCATCTCGCCGCGACCAGAGCAAACTGCAAGAAGATGTCCCCCATTAACACCGAGCGCCAAGGCCGGGCCGGGCAAACTTTTGTGCTCGATTAAATGGATGGAAGGGCCAGATCATTTGTAGATGAGAAGGGGGGGGGTGATTAAGAGCTAAAATGTACGTGTAAAATGGTATCTTTTAAATAACTAAGACGTGTTTCATACAAATTTACATTTCATGTCATGGAAATATTTTTATTGACATTAGTGCCTTGTAGCGGCCCGGTGGTCCAGTGGTGAGCGCATTGACCTCACAGTGCAGAGGTCTGAGGTTCGATCCCGGCTCTGCGTGGGTTTTCTCCGGGTACACCGGTTTCCTCCCACATTGCAAAAACATGCACAACAGGCTGATTGGACACTCTAAATTGTCCCTAGGTGTGAGTGTGAGCGCGGATTGTTGTTCGTTTCTGTGTGCCCTGCGATTGGTTGGAAACAGGTTCAGGGTATTCCCCACCAACTGCCCGAAGACAGCTGGGATAGGCTCCAGCACCCCCCGCGACCCTTGTGAGGATTGGAAAATGGATGGATAGATGGATTGAGATATAATTATAATTTGTTCTGTGACCACACCCACACCAACCCAAAAACACATTTTATCCCAATCAGCTTCACCCAATGAAATGAATGGAAATGCCGTCAATGTGTTCCACAAACTATAAAAATATCCAACTGTGACACAAATAAATGGAATGTAAAGAATCAAACAGCTTTTGCCACATTTTTTGCTTTGTGCACCCTGCACTGCAGCCCTTTAATAGACCTAACGAGCGATGCCGTGGCCTGTTCCCCTCACAGATCTTTACCATATTTGAGGATCCCTTTGATGGAGCAGCTATCATTTGAAACTATTCAGGGGGGTGTTAATGCTATATGTGAGGGGAGGGGGAATGATGGGGTGGGGTGGGGTGCGGGGGGGACAATTTGGGAAGAATGAAGGATGGTGAGACCATTGGGGCGCTGAGCTTTCATCTTGTCCCAGTCCGCCATCCCTTCATCTACTACGCCGGCCCCCCGACTTCTCTCGCCAAATTCAATTGAAAGCAGATGGAGTCGGGGCCTGGACTGTGCGTTGTGTCAGGTTGTCACGGCACATTAGCCATCATTGGGCATCCAAACGGCATGGAACCAATAGAGAAAGTTGCGAAGCGTTTGGATGGCGCAGCTGGCACAAGCAGGTGACACGAACACCAAGCGACACAGAGACAGCCCGGCATCAGGCAGGCTCGGGATGGGGCTGAGGCTTCATTAAAGATAACGCACTACCCACCCGGTGTTTCTGAATGCAAACCCAATAAACCTGTAATTAACATCTGCATGTGGCAGTGTAAGAAAACAACCCACAGACTCTCCCTGTTCTTTGTCAACGTGCTTTCCTTGGACAATTAAGGTGGCGTGTCTCAGCTACCAAGACATACAAAAGGAAGGAAATATGTTTTATTTCATTAAAAATTGCCACGAAAACCAAAAGGTACAGTAATTTTGGATTATCATCTGAACAGGGGTGATAAGAAATCACAAAGCAGAGCATTTCCAAGAAAACGCAGAGGACCTAATGTTGAGCCAAGAGGTATGCCAAGCAAAAAAAAATGTAATAGTTGGAGGAGAGCGTTTTCATCCACAAAGTATTCAAGTAATTCATTCATTCGCATTCAAAAGATGACTAAAAATTTCGACCAATTATTATTTTATGCAGTCACTCCAACTACAACGTCAATGCCAATTCATACCAATAATGATACAATACAATACGGTCCACTCCAATTACGATTACAAAATCATTCATTAATATTATGACACCAAATGAATATGGCAATTTCCTCAATTTTTAACAAAATACTTTTCCACTCCAAATACAATGTGATAAAATATTACAATTCACTACAATTAACGTACGACAACACGACTGATTCCAATATTGATGCTCCAATATTGATGCAGGAGATCGCAACGCGTTTAGCTCCAGCCACAAGTGTACCGAGGAGTACAGTGGTGAAATATTAAACAAAAATAAAATAAATGCATTGCGTCTACCTGAATCAAAATGTAGCATTAGGTGGCAACTAGTCATTGAGCAAACGATCTTTTCATCACGTGGTTTGCCTTTGCTTGGTAACTCAAACGCCTTCATATAACTTGATCCATCAACATGAACACTCTCCGCCACATCCACGCATTCGTCTTCCTGACCATCGGTGCCCCACTTAACCTCTCTCGGGGCGGGGGGACGGAGATCCAGGTTTGACTGGTAGCAGCGATACGGTCTCATTTCAGGTGTCATTAGACCAGCTTGTAATTGACAGAAACATTAACATGTCATTAACACATAAGCTTAGACTTATATTTGAACCTTTTAATGAGGCCATCAGTCAACATTAATAGATTAGTTATCATGCGTAATGTGCCAGGTGTCTTTGCCTGTCCCCGCAGGTCATTGTGAGGGAAATCACGATCGTTCTTTTCCTTGGGAGGGATGGAGGGTGCACAAATAACGAGGTCGATGAGGGCGAATGTAAGGAGAAAGACTGCATACAGACGCCCATTAGCTTAGTATTAACACAAATAGAAACGTTTGTCCTTGTCCTAATGTGTAATGCTCAAGAAGCTAGCTTTTGGATTTGGGGGATTCGGGGCTTGCACTAGCAACAAAGCAGGGAAATGGGACCTGCCGTTGCGGGTTACCTTTCAAACAGAACAGCAACACACGAAAAGGCTCGGAAAAAGAATTGAGAGTCAGTACCGAAGGGGGCCACGGCATTTTCTAAAAATAAGTTTTGACATAGACCACAATGTTTTTTTTTTTTTTAAGGGGTGCCGTTATGGTTGGCAGTACACATGTTGAAAAAGTGGCGGGGCGTGAGTCATGGGGGGACTACCGCTCTGACTAATAATAAAATTTTCTACATATGCAAAGACATAAATTTGCGATGAAATAGTCACAGAATTTCTCTTCAAAACACTGAGGAGAATAAAGATGATTCATTTTCAGACGCAAAAATGTTTTCTTCCGCTTTCTGATTCGTGTCAAGGTTCTATTGCTGTTGTTTTGATTCTGAAGATGGAGATGGGATTCAGATCCAGGTGGATCTATTCATGTGGATTACAGAAGAGCGATACAAGAAAAAGTCCGCTTTGAAGGACGGAGTAAAAACGGCTAGCACTACCTCGATCCGATTTTAAACATTCCATGCTTGTATTTTTCATACAGATCTGCAAGATGAGGGGGAAAAATTGGCTTTGACCGGACATGTGAAAAGAGCAAATATATTTTTGGAGTAAATAGTAAATAACATTTTCCACCAATCAGCTCATTTGCTCTCCAACCATTCAGCTACTTAAAAGTCCACCAGCAACACCCCTTCCACTCCTCTTCACCAAGTGCCGCATACTAATCCCTCAGAGCTGGAGCCTTTCCTTGTTTACATCAGGCCACAATTAATCTCCCGGAATGTCTCCTCGCCTGGGCCGCGAAGGCTGATTGATGGAGGCCGGCTCGGGCCTGGCGCGTCGGAGTCGCTCAGAAACTCCGGTTTCAGGATACGCAAATGGGTCGGAGCTTTCAAAAGCGACCAATTGCGGCCAGCGAGTGCGCCGAGGCATGTCTGATGTGAAAAGCAGGTATCCTTCCAAGCCTCATGTCTCCCCGCCCCCACTCCAACCTTTTTTTCCCCTTCCACCCCCACTCACAGTCGCTAACATTTCCACCCAAGTTCTGCTGCCTGCCTGCCCGGTGGGTTGATGGATGATATTTTGCAGCTCAGAAGCACATTGTTTTCTTTAGCACAGCAGGCTATTCTGTTTGCAGAGGCCTGGCCCGTGAAATATGGAGAAGATCCATCAGTGGCCTCCGTTAAAGCCTCCCAGATTGATAGCTGCAACCGTCTGATCCCGTAAGCCTGACACACTGAGAGAGAACCAAGCTACATAAATATGCTTCAGCACTAAAGCATGATGAAATTCAGCATGTCATCCAAAATTCCAAGGTGGATTTGTGAGTATTAGTATTAGGCAAGCAAAGAAAGGGAGTGCTGCAGCAAAGTGGAGACTGTGGCAGCCAAAGCAGCATAAAGTTAGCATGTGTGTTTCTTGTTTTCATTTCTACTTAAGGAGCTGCAAATGTTACAGTGACACTCTAATTTTAAATGGAGACCGAGATTAAAAAAAAAAAAAATGAGAGGGAGTGCTGCAGCAAAGTGGAGACTGTGGACACAACAGCAACTAAGTTAACCTAAGCATATGTATATATTGTATAATTTCTGCTCTTTTTCTCCATAAAAGTTATAATGGCATAACAATTGTATTAGAGAGGAGACTAAGGCCAACAAGAGAGTGCTGCAGCAAAGTGGAGATTGCGGATGCAGCAACAACGTGGGCTTATGTTATCGTAGCTATTTGTTGTCTTTTTTAGTAAACCGTCATCAAATGTTACAATGACGTGCCAATTTCAAATTCCAGAGGAGACAAGAAAAGGGAGCGCTGCTGCAAAGCGGAGACTGTGGATGCAACGGGCACAATAACTCTTTTCAATGGAGTCAGTGTATTTACTGTTGATGTGCCAATTTTATATCCATGTGGAGACTCAAAGGACAGCAAAAAAAAAAAAAAAAAAAAAAAAAAAAGGACGCATCAGAACAACTTGCTTGCTGCCCTCAGTCTCTTCTCCAGTATTCTTCTCCATTTTCTTGCTGCCTGCTCTCTACACATGGATATAAAACAACAGTAAAGTGGACTCAACAGAAGAAGCAAGATTGTGTTGTTGCATTAACATGCTGCCGCACAAAAGGCAGCTGAACTTGTGACCTCCCTGGGGTCCTGGGGCGTGAGGCCCAGCAGGAGGAAGGTCCTGGGGTGGGGGTGGGGGGGGTCTGATATCACTGAGCTGATGCACTCCATGCTCCCCCCACCCCCTCTTTCGTCTTCCCACTCCCACACATGTAGCAGCACAGGGTGTACCTACCACATAAGATGATGTCGGGTCGTCTTTCACTCCCGCTGTTTCACCCTGCAAATGGGAGAATACACCAAATATTACAACATGTTATCAGCAATGTGTTGAAGTAACAGAAAAAAAAATGTAAATACGTCACGTTACACAGCACTGGGAATCACCAAAATACACACGCAACATATGTATCACTATATTGAGAATATCCTGATACAACAACTGCAACAGGATGACATCGTTGGTAAATATCCGATAATAGGCTAATATGAAAAGGGGTTTAATGCCTTGGTAAAAAATTATTTTATTCTAATCATAAATTTTAGTGGGATACACAAGAAGGCAACAGTATCATGATACAGCAATTGTATGACTCTTAAAAAAGTTCACAATATTGACAGTGCAACAATAAAAACAACATCAACAGCAACAATACGAAAATATGTTTTAAAACCTTGACAGGACACAGAAATAATTTTTTGATACTGGTTGGCTAACTGGCAGTGGGGAATCTCAACACAATAATAGCACAGCATGGACAGTATCATGATACCAGCAATACATGTTGATATTTTTTACATTTAGATTTTAAACTTGGGTAGAATGTAGCTAAATTTGGACAAAATCAATAAACCAATACAAGTGAATCAAACAAAATCAAAACGTAGCAGTATTATCCATGTAAAGGCATCATTTTTGATGCCGCTCCTGTAGAGCGTCTTCATAATATGGCTTAAAAATGTGAGTCGAGCAAACGTACGCGGCCCCCAGCTTCATTAAAGAAACGTCATCGATCATGTGGCGCAGGGGTGTACATTTGCTGTAAATGAGGCCAAATGAAGTCATAAAGGTAATCTTGTCATCAAACATCAATTAATAGAGCGGGATGGAACTGGCACCGTTGAAATAACTCACGTGAGGGACGCTTATGGACGTTCATACGTTATGATGAGAGACATGACGTGTGTGTATGAAGACGTTGGAGAATTATTAGCGTGCGTGTCGGAACGGAAGCAACATTTATCAAACGCAGGCCTCAAGAGGCGACGACGCTGCAACAGAATATCGAGACACGTATAATATTAATTACGTCTTAAAACAAATAAAACTAATGTTCTTTGTCGTTTTATTTATTATTTAAGAATCATGAGTTGTTTTTCAATAAAGTAAACTCGATAATGTCATCAATCACAAGTCACATGGCAATTATGTTGGAGTGTCTGATGTCTCAGACAAAATACGAATTTAAAAAAATCGTACAAAATAATGCAATAGAGTAACAGCCAACGCTAGTGTTGATATCATTGCAATTACAATAATTTTATTTTAATGTTATTCGTTCTTTTATGTCGTTCTTATGTCACAAAATATTTTTCTTAAATCATTGTGCGTTTATATTTATTGTACAGAAATATGAATTCATCTTTTTAAATTTAATCATCACACAAACATCATCTATGTTGAACTGTCATCTATCTTATTAAATATCAGTCATAAATCCAACTAATATTCATACTACTACGATTTAAAAAAAATACACAAGAGTTGATACTATTAGTATTACCACTAGCATTTTCAGTCAATTCAATTTAAATATTAAAAATGCGATTTAACTTGTATCTTATCCCCTTCGTGTAATTTTATTTATTGAAAAATTCTATTTTTATAAATTATGAATTAATCCTAAAATAAATATATTCGGGGCTCGTATAGTTATTACTGAATTGAATGTCTTCAAATTTTAGTGAAGTAAAAGGGCATTTTAGTTATGTTTCATTTTATCTTTGGCATGTTTCAGTTTGTTGTGCAAAAAATAAGTTCGCGGAGTGAATACATCCTTACCTTACTTTTTTTTTTTTTTAATCAGTCTTATCAAGCAGTGTCACAAATCCTCATCTGCAATGTCACATGGCAGTTACGTTTGAGTGTCGACTGTGGGGATGATAATAATAATTAAAACGCGAATTAATTACCAGCACACACACACACACACACACACACGCACACACACACACACACACACACACACACACACACACACACACACACACACACACGATGGTACAAGTTGAATAATTGGGGCATGATTGAAAGTTACAATAATTAGGATTAAGTAATTAATGGGACATTTCATGTGACCCTAATAGTTCAACATGGTGAATGAAAAGCACTTTTTAATCATTAGAGGCAGAAAGATGTGACATTTGACAAATTATGCACATCAACGTGGACTCATATCTTGTCCCCCCCCCCCCCACCCCCACGCCCCCCCCACATTTTTTTTTCCCCGCTTATATTTCTACTTTTATAGCACGCATGTCAACTATTTGGCAGCTTGTGGCTTTGTTTGTGTCAGAAATAATCTCAAAGAAGGCTCATGACTACATTTTTATGTTGTTTTTTTTTTTTTTTTGCATCATGCTGCAAAATTGTGTGCGTGTGTGTGTGTCTGCGTGTGTGTCAACACTGAAAAGCGAAACGCAGAAAAAGAAGGGGAAGAAGTGAAAAAAAGAAATAAAGGGGACGTGAGCATGGAGAAATTGTCAGGGTGTCAGCACCCCCTGCTGGTTTTAGTTGATGGACTGTCTGGGACCCTCAAGTGGACGCCTCCAACCTGCGGCCAAAATTAACACCACGATGACGTCAGCTTGTACTCGTAATTAGCCTGCTTTTATTATTCTTATTTTTGCTAATTTGGATTTGAACAATAACCGTATAATTAGACAATCTGAAAAATCATACCTTGATTAATATTCTATATTATCAAATTGACCTATTATTCCGTTATCAATTGTTATATCAAAATATAAATTGTTAAATAACATACGACTAGTAATACTTGAACACAATAAAATTTGTTGTTTTTAGTGGTAAAATTCTTAGTGTTATTTTGTATAAATTATCTTTTACATTTGAGAATTAATAAATGTATACGTGTGTTATACTACAAATAATAGTAATACTTTAAATATAAACGGAGTTATTTTTTTGTGATAAAATGATGATTATTGGTTCTATTGTATGTATTTTGTTATTATTTAAGAAAAATGTGTTAAATGTATTATTTACTTTGGTATATTATCATGTTTTGAACAATCATAAAAATAGAGTCAAACATTTTTTTCATAGATTAGGACAGACATACAGAGACATATTCGATGGGTTGAAAGCTGGACAAACAGACAGACAATAAAAATCAAATTACTGTATCAATGTGTAGGGAAAAAAAAAAAAACAACATTTTATAGTCACTGGAAGCTGATTTGCATACAAAAGCTCAGCACGGCCACTTGTTAGCCTTTATGGCAACAACCACAAATTTAGCAAGCCAGAGGTTTCCAATCAAAAGCGAGAATGTCACCAACATGACTGACACACGGCCGTGACCCGGGCCCATGTGCGAAGGAAGGCTGACACCACCGGGAGCGGGGCGGTGGAGGAGGGAGAGGGCGGGGTACTCGGCGTGGCGTCGTTATCCCAGAAAGGGCCACTCTCTCTGGGTTGTCAGCCTTCTGTCACGACCCCCCGCAGCCACCTCCAGCAAGCCTCTAGCATCAAGACTGTTGTGTTGTTTCATTATCGCAGTGCTTCACGTAGCAGCGCCATCATTATCCATCAGGCTTAATGAGACTATCCCGCCCGCCGTAAAGGTCAGGCAATTACTGCTGCAGCAGTTTTTCCGCCTCTGACATGCACGCGCACGTGCACGCCGACGCACATATATTGACTCCGTTTGATGACTCCTTTACACATACAGTGAAGTTAGAGACAAAGACCGACAAAAGTAGCAAAAAAAAACAAACAAACAACAACAACAACCAAGCAATGAGTAATTGGTGCTGGACCTAAAAAGGTTTACACTGTAATTGTTAATATTAATAGTTTAAACTTTAAATATATGACAAACTATCATTCTAAAGGATAGCAAATGAGTCTTCATGTTGATTTAGGCACTTGCTTTCTCCACCGACAGCCCCACAAGATCCTTGCTTGGCGGTCGGCTAACAGTAGCCTCAAGTTAGCTCCCGACTGTAGCGTCAACAGTTTCCCAAATTTGCTTCAAAATTAGTCTCTAATGTTAAATTAAACATTACTTCAATCATTAGCTTCCAATGTTAAGTTCAACGCCAGCCTACGTGTTTCCTCCGATATTAGATCCAACATTAACTTCCAGAGGTCAATTGTAACTCCAACATTAGCCTCTGAAGTTAGCTTCCGATGGAAAGTTACCACTCAGGTTACAGATAAGGAACTTTCATGTTAGCTTTCTAAATCACTGATGGAGTAGTGGTACACTCACCTGACTTGTGTGCAGACAGCGTGGTATCTGTTTGTGCTCAGTGACGGTTCGTGTGTGTACGTGTGCCCTGTGAATGGCTGGCGACCAGTTCAGGGTGTAGTGTGTTTTTCGATGAAAGTCTGCTTCGATGTGTCAGCTTCCAAAGTTGGTATCACTGACATTAGCGTTGAACCTAAGCTCGAACATTCACTTCTGAAGTTAACTTCGATTGCTTCATGGTGTTTACTGTTTTTCTTGTGAATTTATTTTAACTGTGTTTGTTTTTGAATGCCTGATTTTTACTCAATGTACAGCACTTTGGATGGTTGTTTTTAAGGCGCTCTATAAATAATGTTGAGTTTAGTTGAGCTGTTACTGTTAAGAGAACCAAGGAAGACCAAGGCTAGCTTCTGACAGAAAAGCTCCATGTTAGCTTGTCATTTTATCTTTAGTGCTCGCTATACTAACATTCACTAACAGAAGACTGGATGTTGTGCCAAACAGGCCTAATCTAACGTGACGTTCAACCATCCAACTTTAGTTTCCAATTTTATCCCAAACATTAGCTACCAAAGTTAGCTTCCAATGTTATGCGATCAAAGTTAGCTTCCAGCGCTACTTCTAACATTAGACCAACATTAGTTTCCAGAGATAGCTTCAAAATCAAATTCTACTGTTGCCTCCAACGTCAGCTTCCAATGTCGGCTTCCCACGTTAGCTCCAACATTAGCTACCGACATTACCTGAAATGTGACATTCCAGTGTTACATTCCAGACGGTTCCCCACATTGCCTTTGAGTAGCAAATGGCACAGGTGGATCATGTGCAGTATATGACAAGCCTGTAATTGGATCAAGCTTCCATCACCTTTGAACTGTGACCTTTTGACATCGGCAGGAAGCTTGTGTGCAGGAAAGAGTCACAAGATCGCAAAAAAAAAAAAAAAATCAAAAAAAAATCAAAATGTTGACACGGTCCCCTTTTTTATGTGGGGGGCCCAAATTTGCTTCAAAATTAGTCTCTAATGTTAAATTAAACATTACTTCAATCATTAGCTTCCAATGTTAAGTTCAACGCCAGCCTACGTGTTTCCTCCGATATTAGATCCAACATTAACTTCCAGAGGTCAATTGTAACTCCAACATTAGCCTCTGAAGTTAGCTTCCGATGGAAAGTTACCACTCAGGTTACAGATAAGGAACTTTCATGTTAGCTTTCTAAATCACTGATGGAGTAGTGGTACACTCACCTGACTTGTGTGCAGACAGCGTGGTATCTGTTTGTGCTCAGTGACGGTTCGTGTGTGTACGTGTGCCCTGTGAATGGCTGGCGACCAGTTCAGGGTGTAGTGTGTTTTTCGATGAAAGTCTGCTTCGATGTGTCAGCTTCCAAAGTTGGTATCACTGACATTAGCGTTGAACCTAAGCTCGAACATTCACTTCTGAAGTTAACTTCGATTGCTTCATGGTGTTTACTGTTTTTCTTGTGAATTTATTTTAACTGTGTTTGTTTTTGAATGCCTGATTTTTACTCAATGTACAGCACTTTGGATGGTTGTTTTTAAGGCGCTCTATAAATAATGTTGAGTTTAGTTGAGCTGTTACTGTTAAGAGAACCAAGGAAGACCAAGGCTAGCTTCTGACAGAAAAGCTCCATGTTAGCTTGTCATTTTATCTTTAGTGCTCGCTATACTAACATTCACTAACAGAAGACTGGATGTTGTGCCAAACAGGCCTAATCTAACGTGACGTTCAACCATCCAACTTTAGTTTCCAATTTTATCCCAAACATTAGCTACCAAAGTTAGCTTCCAATGTTATGCGATCAAAGTTAGCTTCCAGCGCTACTTCTAACATTAGACCAACATTAGTTTCCAGAGATAGCTTCAAAATCAAATTCTACTGTTGCCTCCAACGTCAGCTTCCAATGTCGGCTTCCCACGTTAGCTCCAACATTAGCTACCGACATTACCTGAAATGTGACATTCCAGTGTTACATTCCAGACGGTTCCCCACATTGCCTTTGAGTAGCAAATGGCACAGGTGGATCATGTGCAGTATATGACAAGCCTGTAATTGGATCAAGCTTCCATCACCTTTGAACTGTGACCTTTTGACATCGGCAGGGAGCTTGTGTGCAGGAAAGAGTCACAAGATCGCAAAAAAAAAAAAAACATCAAAGAAAATTCAATCTGCTGACTGGTTCCTTTTTTATGTCGGGGAGGAGCTACGTTTAGCATGGCTTGTAAGCAGAAGTTGTTGAAGGTGCCTTGGCAAATGCTGAGCTGAGCTGAACTGAACTAATAATCGTCTGCCTCACCTTTGCCAGACTCTGTGGCGCAACGGTAGCGCGTCTGACTCCAGATCAGAAGGTTGCGTGTTCAAATCACGTCAGGGTCACTTCATTTTAGCTTTTAAAAAAAAAAAAATCAATTATTGGCACGAATCCTGACTTGTTTATGTTTTGTGTCTGATATGTTTTACATCTGAACGGAATGAATTTCAAATTGCTGCACATTTTTCTGAACATATAATTGAAAGTGTATTTAATATGACTGCAATTTTGGTGTTTTAATCATAAAAATTCTTGAAATATTTATATCATAATATATAAGAAATGCTTAAAAAATGTACGATGTTTGCTTTAGCATCATAGCTCATTTAAATGAATTGCTTCACATGTTTTTCCCTGGTCACATGTTGTTGCAAGGCAGAATTTGTGTTACTTGAGGAAGGTGTCTTATTTTTGTAGAATTTGTTCAATTGTTTGTTTGAAAATAAATAGAAACTAGAAAAAATGCCCGTAGACATCTGAATATCTATTATCAGTTGATCATACAATAATTTGTCTTCAAGTAGATGGGTTAAAAAAAAAAAAAAAAAAGAAAGAAATCTGAAGCAGCCCCAGGCAATGGCGGGACCGCTTTTTATGTGCTGGAGCCGGTGCAGTTACCCTGTTTTAACAGCGGGATTAATGATGTGGCAAAAGTGGCCATAAATTGATAATATAACCATTGAACATACTTGGCGGGACAATTAAGATAACACGGCGGGAAACGGCGTCGTGCGCACCGTCATGCATGGCCTCGTTATTGGGCACAGTCAGAAGGGGGTGAGGGGTGGGGGGTGGGGCACGCTGGAGGGTTTGTAAAACTAAAAATTTGCAAGGCGTAAAAGTTGAGGGGTTCACTGCCCTTCACTAGCTTGTAGCATTAGCACCATTGGTGAGTGGTCAGGGCCAGCAAGGCCTTCACTGCAAGCCTAAAAATTATAAATAGCAGTAACCTACATTTGCGAACTAATTTGACTTCGACAAAATCGTGCCAAGGCACCATGTTGAAGTGAACCGAGTAGTTTCCTTTAGACCAAAATAGTGCTTTACCACCATCTTGTGGCATCTATAGGCACTTGCCAACCTTGCTCACCATATTAGCAATGGTGCTATTTGTTAAACTGATCATGTACACGACATACATGCGTGCTGTTTGTTTTTGTATAGCATTGATGGTTTTATATAACGGGTGGTGAGATGGATTCAATTGAGTAAATCTTTAGTGAAGGCGCAGCTACCAAATGCATAGCACACCATTGAATCATGGAACGGCTTCAAAATGTTAATTTTAGCACCAGTTTGCGTGCGTTTTAATGGATGGGTGATTCTGCCATTTAAGCATTGCTTAGTCCGGTGCGACGTACAGAGGTCAACAGTCATTGATTGATGTGACTGCAGCATTGCTCCCAAATGCTCATCTTCACCTAAACAGACTCTCACATGTCAACAGATTCAATAAAGAGAAGTTTAAATATTCTTCTCATTGGCATTTATTCGAAAAAGGACATACAAAATTCTCGCTCATTTCACACCCAACTGGAGGCAAAAAAAACTATATTGATGTGTACTTTTAATAATATTACTTTTAGATTATTTCATGAAAAAAGTGACATGATAAACAGAAAAAAAAATTATTTGTGGTATTAACCGTTTCAGGGACAGCGATTACTCCAGTGTACAGCTTATCATGTTATCAGGTTACAGGTAGCATGAAAGGGTTAAAATAGGAAATAAGTTTGAAACTCAACAGCCTAATACATTTATTAAGCATTGCATACAATCCAGGTAATTCCAAAGGGTTCACATACTTTTTCTTGCGTGTATCAATGTTTTTATGAATATGCTACAGGCCAATAAAGGGAGCGTCACCCCATCTCTTAATGAGCACATATGCGGCAGGGGTGTACGCGTGAAAGTAAAACAAAAGGCCTAATGAGAGTGTGAAGAACGACGGCGGGCGCTTCTGTAATGAAGATGAAAAATATCGCTCCGACATCTAACGATGATGCATGACACTGTGCTAATTAGCAGCATGCCCTGCAATTAATAGCTCATAAAATATCAACTTCATACATACACATGGACGCTGCTCATTGCCTGAGCTTGTTAATATGTATTTGGATTTTTTTTTTTTTTTGGGTTAACCTTCATAAAACATAACTGGACCCCGGACAGTTTCTTGGGGAATGCCACTCATGATTTACTGCTGCACGGATTGGATAATGATGTGAGATGATGCACATGTACAGAAGCATTGGGACACATTCCACTTACACAAAGAGAAGTGTAAAAATATGATTGATTGTTAAAAATATTATTAATGAAATGAAATTGAGCGATTATGCAGTAAGCTAATTTGGATTTTGTTTCTTTAGATATGCTACACCTTCAGTTAAAAAAACAATTGTTAATATTCTAATAATTTGAACATACAAATGTAAAAAAAGAAATGAAATATGTTTGATAATCGTTGTAAAAACATGATTCGCAAGAAAATTGTGAACATGCCATGAGCCAAGAAACGAATTGTTTTAGAAAGATCCAATAAAAAATAATGTATTTAAAAAATGCAAACAATATGTTTTTCAACATAGCCAATAATTTATTTTTACATTATTAAAGGAAAAGTCAAGTCAAAAAAATGTCTCCACAATAATGTTCTATGCGCCCCCACAAGTCGGTATTTTGATTAAAATTCAGGGTTTTTTTGTTTGTTTTGTTTTTTAAATACAAATTAATCAGCAAAATCCACACATTTTTATCCATGTCAGCGCAGCACCATTTTGCCATCTGCTGTTGACTGAAAATGACATCACAGTGGCAAAGCCTTTGTCCCTAGATTCTAAGGGCTCAGGGAACTACCAAACAAGGCTCATCTGTTTTCTGCATTTGGTCATGTGACGTTCGCAAGGTTAGACGAATAAGCTTTTAACGCGTGGGGCCTCACTGAACACATTCATGTACGAAAATGTTTGACTCATTCTTTACTGTACAAAAATGAAATGAAATATAAGTTTCAATATGCCCTATAACCACAACCTATCACTGAAAACAGAAATATTGAAAAATAAAATAAAAAAGTGAGGTGCGACAATGAGTATGCCACCGTTTTCTCACCGCGCAACATTCATTTTTGGTCATAGAAGTGCATTATGGATTACATCTTATTCTGTGTGTTTTATAGAAGAAATGCCCATTTTCATTTATTCATTCAGTGAATGAAAGTGTTGCCAACAACTAGCCTGGTCATTTTTTAGTTTGAATGCAAAGACAGAAATATCCTGTTTGTAATAAAGTCATTCCCATGTACGCATGCAAAAGACCTACCGAACTGAACAGGACTATTGCTTTACAAAGCATATTGTGTGCGTGTGTGTGTGTGTGTGCGTGTGTGGGTGTTGATTGTCGGGTGGGTCCTGAATGGCATCTGTCAGCCAGTTGATTAACGAGGCCCTCTGCCCTTCAAATTCCCCCCCACCGCTGCACCTGTCACTCACAGAAGACACATTCATCTTGGTCGGCCTCTTGTCAGGTCAGGGCCGCTTCCACTGCGTGTGTGTGTGTGTGTGTGTGTGTGTGTGTGTGTGTGTGTGT